TAGTAAAGTTAGAGACATCTCCTTCCCTAGAGATATTTCAGGAAGTAAAAGCAAAGTCCTCTTCTTCCCTTCCCCTGGGACATTTTCTTACATTCCAGGATAACAATTTCCTCGGGAGAGGTCTCAAAAGCCCAGAGTGTCTTAAATAGGAGGCTTCTGTGATGCAGCCCACTGTGTGCATAGGTATTATCTGTCCCTGTGTCATTGCATAGGGAATGGAACCTGGAACACAGCCCTTCCCCCAGCTATGAGTATTAAACCAACCAACTCACTTCCATAGAGTCAAATTCCACTCATAGTGACCCCCCCCCCGGGTTTCCAAGGCTGTAAATCTTTATGGAAGTAGACTGCCTCATCCATGGAGAGCCTGGTGGGTTAGAACCACCAGAGTTCTGGTGGTGGTGTGCTGAAGGCATTTGACTACTAAACAGAAGGTTGGCAGCAAACCCACCAGCTGCTCTGCGGAAGGATGATTGGGGCAATCTACTTCCTTAAAGATTTACTGCCTCAAATCCAGTGGGGGGTCGCTATGAATCAGAATTGACTCAATGGCAATGAGTTTGGTTTTTTGGTTTATGAGTAATAAATTGTATGTGTCTGACACAGAGGTCTCATGTTTTTCTGTCAGCATGTGTAATAGTCTTCCCATGTAAAGTGATATTCATAGGTTCCGAGGATTAAGACATAGATATCTTTGGGAGTGGGCATTTGTTAGCCTACCATGATCCACCCTGTGACCTACAGAGATTCACATCACATCTGTCCCAAATGAAAAATCCATTCCCCTATCCTAAGGTCCTCAAAAGTCTTGATCCATTACAGCATCAACTCATGTCCAGAAATCTCATTTAATGAATGAGGTTCTACTTTTCATCTTGTGGACCTCTGAAATCAGACAGCAAGTTGTGTGCCTCCAGAGTGCAATGGTGGGCAAGTTTACCTCAAACCAAAACTCACTGTGGTCGAGCCAGTTCTGACTCAGAGTGATAGTATAGGACACAGTAGAACTGCCCAATTGGGTTTCCAAAGCTGGAATGTATGCAGAAGCAGATTGCCACATATTTCTCTTGCATGGCAGCTGGCAGGTTCAAACCACTGACTTTTCAGTTGGCAGCTGAGCACTTTAACATTGGTGCCACTGGGGCTCTTTGGATAATCGTA